AGAACCCCAGCAATCTACCAACTTATTTATTAGTCTGTCTATCTATCTATCTATCTATCTATCTATCTATCTATCTATCATCTATCTATCTTCTATCTATCTCTCTAACTTATTTCCACATTATTCAGGAAAAATTTAATACTCTGCTTATCAAAGTGTTATCCCTGGGACTAACAAACTAACAGTGGCATCAGTGTCACCTGGAAACTTGTTAGAAGTGCAAATTCTCAGGCCCCATTCCAGACATATGGAATCCAAAAATCTGGGGAGGCTTCCAGTCATCTGCATTTTAACAAATCTTCCAGGTGACTCTGACGCTTGAGAAAGTTTCCGAAGTCCTGAATGGTAATGGTTTGCAAGCTTAAATATTCTTTACATACCAGCATGCTAACCTGGTTTTAAAAAAGCCAATATACAATTCAAATTTGTTTGTTCTTTTCATTATGACATAGAATTGATTGGTAAAAGCTATCTAACACAATCTTTATTATATTGACCAAAGAAATAAGAGAAAAACATCACATTTTTAAAAGACAATTCTGGCCTGAACTAATGGAATTTGCAACATACTTTTGGAGCAACTGTCAATTAACGTAATTTCTAAATCTTGGTTAAGTAACACAGCTGCCTAGGCAGGTCTTCAGTCTGCGATGCGGGGTAGACTGAGTGTTTATATTGTGTGTTATCTGGCCTGCTCACCCATCGTTTCAGGAGCTGCTGGGGGTAGTGGAGGCCTTGCCCTTACCTCGTCTGAGAAATCCGGATTCTGGGAATGGTGCAGAACTGCTGTGTAGGCGGCTGTGGTGAAGAGGGGCCCTCCAGGTTTTCCATAAATACACTGTTTAAAAAGTTATGAGTTGAATAATTATGAACATCTGAAATTGACCCTGAGCACAATAAAGGCCGCAACTCTTCAGTTACGAATCCTGGGACCAAGATAAATTTTGTGAGAACTTGCTGGCCTAGGTGACATCTAAGTGACCTTGAACTCCTTTGACCTGCTGCCCTGAATTTATTATACAATGGGTTGCTGCTAAAGAAAAATGTGAAGGCTTTAATTCATTGTAGGTATTACATTGACACTGAACACCCAAGTCAGCCCATTACCTAACTTTGAGGACTAGGATATGAGATCGCATCTGTCCCATTCTGATTCCTATGGGAGTATCCAGCGCAGGCCTGGAGTTTGAGGCTGACCATAGGAGTGGTTGGACCCTAGGCCCTGACATGCCAGCCCCCAACCAAGAATGAGCAGGAAGGACAGAGCTGGCTCCTGGCTCCGCCATATGAAACGACCATTTGATCCCAGCCCCTAATCAGGCCAGGGGAGGTGACAGGGCACTTCCTACTCATGCAGCTTAAAGGCTCCCTTTGCTCAAGGCTCAGGATGCTGTGTGAGGCTTTAGAATGCAGTGAAACAGGGGCCCCGCCCCTGTTACTACCCTTCTTTCCTAGACTTTTCCGCATGAATGCTGCTCTAACAGCCTGGCCTGTCTGCCATCTGGTCACTGCCTTTGTTTGCTTGGCTACTCCATTTCACGTCCTTTTTTCTCTCCTGCTGCTAATGTGTTGTGGAACTTGGAACCTGTGGATGTGGAGAGCAGCTCGAGACTATTTTAAAGAAGTCTCTCTGTAGCATGACTCATTCAATCCCTCAAACTGCTTATTCTTCTGACCTTAGCAGAGAACTCAATTGGTACCTAACAGGAGATCTCAGAGGACTGTGGGGTTCATTAGCAACTGGTTTTGTCTTGTCTCTGACTCACTGCAACTGGGAAGATGTGGCCGATGTGGCCACCGGCCAACTAGAAACTATTTTCCTGCCTATAGGTTATTTTATGTTTGAAGCCCCTAAAATAAAAACAGTTGATATCAAATATGAACTCTGAAAAATGCCACCCAGTGGCAGCTTTATAGGTTAAAACAGCACAATTCATACAAACCTCATAGTTTTACTGTTCTTATAAAACCACGTGACCAACAAGTGGGACCACTGAAGTCCTAGAGCCATTTCCCAGCTCCTCTGGCCTCACGCACCTTCCATAAATGTGAGCATCCCATGGGCCCAGTGCATTAGCTAGTAGGTCAGTTTGCAGCAACCCCTCTGCACAGGCCACACGCAGGCCAGCTGGGAGGTGGCATTTAAATCAAGCATGCCAAATCCAGAGGCAGGCTACTCTCTGAAAATTGCAGTCTTCCAGGGGGAACCTTTGCATTTATTTCACTAGAATGGTTTTCCTTTTTCTCCATTATGAAAAGCTAAGCAGAGCCACAGCCTGGCACTTCTCATAGCTCTAGTTAATGATGGCTATTCAATCAGGTACATTTAGGACAAATGTGTTGCATTGCTCCTCTTTCAACCACACTCGAATAAAAAGCCCCCAGGTGGCAGAGAGAACCGTGTGCCTGCCCACCCTTTAATGTTGCGTCCCCCGTGGACTTGGCCTACCTTCACGGGCTTGGCACCTTCTTCATCTGAATTTTTGAATTCAATGCACACAGTTATATTTCGTGCCTGAAATTACAGCGAGAGAAACGGAAATTATAATGGCCTATAACATAACACCAAAAAACAATCCAAGTGCCTAAAATAAGTAGCTTCGAATTAAATCCAAAACGTGTACAGTACTCAATAATTTCTTGTGACATCCAGAGTGCTCAGAAATAGCAGAAGGATTTGGAGAGATTATTTAAAAGAGAAGAAAAAACTCATGTCCAAAAGGGACAGGCATGCTATGTGCAGAGTATTTTAAGAAACTGAAAAAAGTCTAGAACAACATTATTTCGGGCTAATTTAGAAAGGTTATTAATGTGTCACACAACTGTGTATTCTTAAGCACTTTTAACGGGAAACTCATCACTGCCCATTATTAAGCATTTTCTTCAAATCATTTTCTTTTCCAAAGTGATGAACTATGGTAATTTGTATTTGAACTTTCAGGAGACCATCTTAATGTGGTCTAAACAGAGTGAAGACAGAGGATGATACTTCAGAAACATACCCTACCTTGTTGAAACATTTCTGGCTGTCATACTTGAGGTGCTTGGGATAAATATACATTTGATTTTTGTATACTCTATAAGGGCGGCAATACTTTGTTGAGTCGTAAACAAACTCTTCCACCTCCACTGTGGGTTCTGGTTGAGCCATCACATTGAAAGGCTTGACAGGGATAAAGGACGATGTTACACAGTCTTTAAAAATCAGAAAATAAGAGTTTGTCATTTAATATGATTTTTTAAGTGAATAACACTTAACATATTTTAAAATCAATCTACTCAAAATAGAAACTCCATTCTTTTATGACAAAATGTTAAATTATGCTAGCATGAAAAATTTGTAGGAATTAAGCATGCTAGACAATCAAACTATATATCTAATACAATTGATGTAAAAACTGGTAAATCTGTCAGATAGGTTTATAATTATTTTTGTATTGAACTTGTTATAAAAAGTGAAATTTGGCTACTGGTCTTTTGAGCACACTCACCAGGTATTAGGGATTCACCCATTGCCCTATAGTGGGTGTCTATTACTAATAGTATCAAGTGGATTAATAGTATTTTTCCCCCTACAGGGTGATTTCACAACATAGACCTGACCTGAAACCCCTCTGCAATATTAGCTATAATTTATTGTATTTTTCTCTTCAGTTTTTATAATCTTTTAAAAATCTAACCTTGTAAGTACAGTCTAAAAAGAAGACCATGAGGAATTTATAAATCAAAATTTCTCTGATAAATAGTTTGGAGGCTGAAGTTGTGGTATTGAAAAATAGCAAGGCCTTCTACCTTCCTTTATCCCATCTGGAATCTTCCTGTGTTCAAAAAAGCACAATTATTAGCTAAATATGCTGGGGAATCAAATTACAGGTCTTTTTTAAAAAATAAATTATAAAATTTCTACTACTAGTAGTTTCTCTACTGTCCCACAGTCTTGACAAAGAGAATATTTTAGCTCTCTCTTTTGTTACTTTTCTTTCCCATAGGTAATAAAAGCCGCATCCCTCACATCAAAGAGAGGAAATGACTTAGTTTGTCCTCTTCTTTTTCATACCAATCAATATAAAAGTGATTTGGAACATGGCTTAAGTTAGAATTCTCATTTTATTTCATAATAAGATGTTTTGTGGAAAAATTATAAAAATAAAAAACTTCACAATGCTAATGGTGCTTCAGCCATCCTGTGGCACCCATCCCACCCTGCTTGTAGTTAATTTTAGGGTGTCTGGATTCATTCTTTGCATCACTGAGAAAGTCACTAACAGGCATAATCAGAAATAACTAAATAAAATAAGCTGATCTCACCACTTAAGAAATAAATTTTGAAACTCTTATTTATAAGTTCTTTTCCTTCCTTCCTTCCTTCCTTCCTTCCTTCCTTCCTTCCTTCCTTCCTTCCTTCCTTCTTCTTCCCTTC